AAAAAAGAGATTTTTAAATTTTAAAATATCAGAGATGCATTTTACTGTACATATTTGACTTCTTATATGAAACGAATATAATTTCACTGTCACAAATCTTTTTTGTTTTTTATTTTTTATTTTTAGAGTAGAGTCACCAATCAATTGTATTTGGACAAAATTAACTATATTGGGATCTAATCAATTCTGAAATGGGGGAAAAATGGTTGCTGCTAAAACGTTTTATTAAACAAGTTAAAAATAATATCACTAGTTTATATATTGTCTAAATATACTATTTTTTAAAATTTTAAAATTGTCCTATAAGATTTCTAATTATGTAACTTACTTTCTTCCTGTTGGCTTTAATATAATTTTTTTTAAGGAATTACAAAAATAGCACCGAAGGAATTTGTATATATATATATATATATATGAATAACATTATGTTTAAAATTTTACAAAAATGACATAAATGGCAAGTTAATACAATCACATGAAATCAACAAGTAGTGTGACTTCTGTGACATTTTTGAAAAACGAAAAATAAAAATAAAAATATCTTTATAATACATATTCATTATTTTATATTTAGTATAATTTTCTTTTTTTTTTTACCCCATTTGATAACAATTTCCTACCGATCTGCTTTTTTTATTTTGTTATCACGTTTTAAAAAGGTTTTCAAAATTTTAGCAAAATTTTAAAAACTAAAAAGTAGGTTCGTTTGATGATTTTTAGTCTTTTGTTATTGAAAATTAATCAACAACCGCTACTTCCCAGAATAATAATTGACCATAAAACTTGGACTAATATTCAACTTTTGAAATTTTTAGATTAAATGAGAAAGGAGAGTATATTTTAAAGGCAAAGTTTATATTTCAACAAATAAAGGATTAAAGTATAAAAATTTCATAGGTATGAAAATATTAATAAAATACCAACATTGACAATATAAACTCATACAAGTTAATAAATAAATACTATCACGCGTATAATTCATATTAGAATTTTTTAATATTTATTATATTTCATTAATACTTTAGTAAACATTGAATTCTCCTGTCACGAATCTCTTACACACCAAAGTTTTTAGTTCGGGATAATTCTCCATACTATCTTTTTTATTTAAATACGAGTAAATACTACGAGAATATTAAAAATTTATGGACGGTAAAAGATAAATAAATAAATAAGAAAATAGGGGAGAGAGAAAAATGACTTTTAGAGAGAGAGAGTGGGACCAGGGAAATTTGACAAATTGTATAAAGAGTCGCCGACAGCAAATCGGGAGCGTAGATCTTCTGACAAACGCTGCGTGATGCTCTTTTCTTTGGATTCCAAAAACCCAAAACGACTGTCGTTTTCACATTTTTCCCCTTCGCCTTCCAGCAGGTAAATACCAAATTAAATTCGCAATGTCTTTATTTCCTTTTATTATTATTATTATTACTTTTAAATACTCTTTTGATTTATATATTTTTAATTTTTATTGTTTTAGTCTATATAATTTTAGAAAGTTGATTTTATTTCTTGTAATTTTAAAAGATTACCCTGTCGTATTTTGTAATATTTTAACGAAATTTTTTAATAAAAATTTGTGGTTGTATTTTAAACAATTTTGATTACTACAGTTGAGTTACTGTTGAGTCGTGGGTGCACTGCTTCTGCTTCTGCTTCTCACTCACACGATGGAATTTTTTTTTATTTTTTTTATCTCACTAAAATATGTTTTAAGTTTTGATATTCTAAGTATTTTTTTTTTAATTTAGTTTCACGTGTTAAACTCAAAAATTAAATTCAACTTGAACGTAACTCAACTGATTAAGACATCTATTTTTTACTAAAAGGTAAACTCAAATCTTCATCCCCACGTATTGTACTAAAAATTCTGAAAAAAATAAAAGAAAAAAACTCTATTGTTTAAAAAAAATTATTTTAGTTTCTTCTGTTTTAAAATTTTTCAATTTAGTTATTCAATATAATGGGAATATTAAAATTGACTGATGACAAATTTATATGAAATAATACTCGGTGAATTGGCAGAATTTAAAGAAGAAGAAAAAAACTATCAATAGAAAAAAATTCAAAATTTGGTGGAGTTATAAATTTTCTCTCGTATATAATATTTTTACTCTAAGGGGTCGTTTGTTTCAGGAGAATCTGAGAATCACATGGGATGTACATCCAGATTCTCGTATTTGTTTGATAGGAATGTTGGATATCGGGAATTTTTAGATGCCTATAAGGAAGGCATCTAAGCAATTTTAGATGCCCTCATGTAATATGGATTTTTAAGGACTCGTTTGGTAACATTTTCGTTTCTTGTTTCTCGTTTCCAGTTTTATTAAGAAATCTAAGTATTTTTATTCTAACTTTGTTTCTTGTTTTTCCTTTTTTGGGAACATCCTCATAATTGTATAGAATTTTTGGAAACAACAAAAACTAGTTTCTCATTTTTTGTTCCCATTTCCAATTTATTCCAAAACATAAATAAAAAGAATGTTTTATCATACTTGAACTCTTAGATATTGAACCATGCAATACATTTTTCTTCATTAAAAATAAAGAAACAGGAACGTTACCAAACGAGCCCTAAGATTCCCGTGTTGAGGGTATCTCCTTTTAACAAATTTGTCCCTCGTCATTTTTGTTCTATAATATTTTTTTCATCAATAATATTTTATTTCTCACTTATTTTATTTTATTTGAAAAATAAATGTATACACTAATTTATTGATAAATACCTAAATATAATTTTATTTATATGCTACATTTAGATATAAAATAAACATTAGTCAAATATATAATATCTTAATTTATTTTAATTCAAATATAATGTGCAATCTTTCCTTTATTTTACTCTTCCAATAGTCACCAAACATAAACTAAAATTGACATAAAAATACAATATTAAATTAATAAAAGTAATTTTTTATATGAATTCAAATAATATTAAATTTAACATATAAATCATATAAATTGACAATATTTCCACGATAAATCCTACAAAACAAACGTGACTATTTAAATATTTCTAGATATTCTTATAAATTTTATTACAAAACGAACGTGGTTATCTTAAATTTAGAACGTCTAAAATTCCGAGCATCTGAAGAGATCAGATATCTACAATGGCACCTAAATGTCTATCAATACGCTAAGTGTTAGATCATGTAAGTTTATCTTCCGTTAATTTTAAAATTTACCTATAGTGAGAGACTAGATCAAAAATATTAAAATATAAGCGATTAAATTGAAATTTTTTATACAAGGTCTAAATATATATATATATATATTTGAGAATATGACTTCAAACATTTGGGACCCATTTACGTCAGCCAACCTTTTTTCTTCCTCTTTTTAAAATTTCTAGGAATTGAAGAGTATTTATGAATCGCCCATTATTACATTTATTTTAAGTTCCATACCGTTGATTTTAAGAGGAATCAATTTATTTATTTTTATTTTTTTGTTTTGTTGTTTTTTATTATTATTATTATTTTTATTTTTAGGAAAAAATAGGAAGCAGTTAAAAACCAGAATCTTTCAGTTGGAATGACAGATTTCATAACAATTTGGTTCTTTTAATGAGTTAGTCTTAAATTTTAATATTTTTTGTTTTTTGTTTTTTTGGACAGCTTAGTTTCTATAATGAAATATCTTGTTTGTATAACGATATTTGATGTAAGAGCCACTTGATTCCTATGCAAAAGAGGAATAACAAGTCGATGAGGTACAAATTAAATTGTTAAAAATTAAACGGCTATATCTTATAGTTTTAAGAACTAAGTAGTAAGAAGTTTCAACTATAAAAACTAAATCGTTCTTCAACGTATTTTAAATATTAATTAAGGTAATAAATAAAGTTTATTGTACATGAAATAAATATAAAGATAAGGTTTGTGAAAGTCTGAGAAGAAAAAAATGGTGTTATATAAACGGGTTTTGCAATAATAGCAAATTTTAACAGATTTGTCACATGATAAAATATTTTGTAAAAATGACCGAAATCATAAATGTAAGAATTCAAAAATCAATAATAAACATGTATCACTTGTGAATTTTATATTAAGTATATTAGTGATATAAAAATGGTATATTAACAATGTGCTTTATTGAGACATTCATAATATATTTTATCAACAGTAGACAAATAGCTTTATATTGATATATCGATTATCGCGTAAATGATGTATCAATATTATCCTATATATTGATACATTAATGACATAGTTTATCACGAATGATACAAAAATAACATATTAATGATATACCAGAAAAAAACATTGTCACATTTATAAATTATTTTTTCCTATAACAAATTTACAAATATGACACTATGGTTTTAGTGAGGGAGTAATTTTGGATCGAATCAATATGTAGCCCAAAGTTGAATTAAGTTGGGCTCATGACCCTTCAAATAAGACGTTGAAATTGATGGTCTAGATTGGAGTGGAGAAATTTTATTTTATGTGGAAATATTACATTTTAAAAGTGTAATGTTAAAACTTGATGGTTGATGGCTATAAAATCGAAAATAGTTACGAAAAGAAATTCGGGAGCAACTACGTAAATTAGAATAGCTGCACAACAGGACTAAGTGAAAAGAAATTCCAGCCTCAATTAAAACTCTTTTTGTAGTTAACCCAAATAATTTCTTATTTTTAACATGGTAAATAATAAATAATGTCTACCCTAATAATTAATATATATTACCCACTTCACATTAATTCAATTCAACGTCGATCAAAACAAATTCAAGAACCTAATTTTATCCGTAAATTATATTAGAATAAAATATTCAGTTATTATTAAACAGCATGCTAATTATTTATTTATAAAGGCTACAAATATCTTTTAGTCCTAACTTTTTCTTAACCTTTTTCAATTTGACCCATTTAAAAAGTTCTTTAGTTCTTTATGTTTTACCGATCTGAGTATTAAAGTTGACTGATGATAAATTTAGACACATAATAGAGCTGGCAAAAAGTTTTAGAGGATGAAGAGAGCCACCTAAAAAGAAAAAAAAAATTTCAAAATTTCCACCAACTTCGTTCTGACAGCTCTCACTAATTATCATATCATGTAAACTTATATCGGTCCATTTTAACATTCATCAATACGAAGAGTATAACTGAAAAATGTTAAAATAGAACCGCTACACTGAAACTTATGCAAAAGATGGATGAACTTTGCTAATTTTGACCTAGAAGATCAAGATTAGAGAAGATGCAGAAGGTGCTAATTCTGATCAACATTATTGCAGATAAAACCAGTAGCTTTATAAACTTTCCTTTTCTACCTCTTTAAATGGCACTGAGGGATTCAGCCCTACAAGCGCTTGGCACATAAGAACCTTTATACGCCTTACAGATATAGCTCACAAAGTTTTCAAAGTCCTGCAGAAGGGCGAAATTATGCAAAGCTTTACGTGAATGGTTGAGTTCAAATCAAAGTGTTTAAACTCTGCATTTTTTTTAGTTCAATACGTGGAGGTGAGAATTCTGACCTTTTGATCGAAGACATATATGTCTTAATTAATTGAGCAATCAAATTGACTTTGGTAGAGGGTATATGTCTTAAACAGTTAATGTCTATAAATTAATGACAAATCACTTTGTGAAAAACCAATCTCATGCTTGCAGAGCCAAAGCATCACTTCTTTGAGAAATAAGTGGCATGTAAAATTTGGTGTAAGAGGGAAAAAAAGAAATGTGATGATTCGGTTTGCCTAGTGACATTAAATTTATGATAGTTCTTGTTTAAAATTCATCCCGGTGATTAATCAAAGCCTCCACGATGTGCACGTGATCGAGTGTAAAGGCTAAGTTTGTGAGTGTGTTTGGATGTGTTGAGAGAATAGATTCAAAGAAACAAACCTCATAAAGTGGTTGTCCATCAACAACCACCCAAGGAACGTATTTATGAGGAGGCTGAAGATGGTCGGTTTCGGCTGCATATTGTAGTTCAAGCTGCACAGAGATGAGAATTCTCGTCATAAACACAATCAATCCTCAAGGACTAGTTTCCATTTAGTGCACAATAAAGCTTGTGAAACCTGAAATAACCATTCGATACAGGTTCAAATTTCAGTTTTAAATTCTATCATACCTCTAACCGTGTTGAATCATTAATCACATTGTTACAACTCTCCTCAAACAATTTATCAGCAAACAATAAAATGCCTTATCTGAGTTAGTTTAAGTAACTCACCTCTTTCCCAAGCCCAGAAGAATAGCATTCATAAACAGGCTTTGGATCCAATCCCAATTTCTCGTAGCAAGTTTCCCATTGGGTATATTTCCGCTCGTACACCACAGCCTCAACACAGAAAATAAAAGGAAAATGCCCTGTCTACATTCACAAATTTGAACCAAAACTTAGCATTCCAGCTCATCCATCATGCATGTTAACATTATGTGCAAGTGCTATTTAATAATTCAAAAGTGATCAAAAGAGATAACAAGCCAGTTATATCATGTTCATGACTTTCTGAATCTCAGGTTTAGAAACAGTTAATGGAGTACCAATTTACCAAATAGATAACAACAGCCAACTACATTAAGCTCGTTGATTACAAAGCAACACACGAAAATAAGTCATGATACTCTTCCAGAAAATCCATGCACATTGTAGAACTTTTTTACTCTCACCTCAACCAGAGTATCTGAATATTAAGTAGTTGCATGGCTGAATGTCACATAAGTTCAGTGATTGAATTGGATGAGAAAGGAAGAAACTCGCATTGAAAACTGACCAATTGGCTCTCGTCGTGAGACTTACCAGCTCAGGCCAGGCATTAATAGCACAGGCTTCCACGGTGTTCAGAAAACATTCAGAAGGACCATGCTGAAATCATCACCACAAAATAAAAGTTCATCAGAATCATCAAGTATAGTATATCCTTATGTGCATATGCATGTTGTGTAAAGAGTTGATTACTACTATGTTTTGGAGTCTAAGCTCTCATAATCCGCCAAAAGCTACAAATTATACCATATCACATCACCAGTTTTTAGTGTAAGATTCTAAGGACCTATTTGGTAACGTTCTTGTTTTTTGTTTTTGTTTTTTCATTTTTAATAAAGAAAAATGAATTGTATGACCCCAAATTCAAGTATGATCAAACAATCTTTTTCTTTATATTTTAGAAGTTCTTTGTTGTTTCCAAAATTTAAATACAATTTTGAGAATATTCCCAGAAAACGAAAAACAAAAAACATAGTTAGTTGCAAAATGTTTAGATTTTTTAAGAAAATTGGAAATGAGAAACAAGAAATAGAAACGTTACCAAACGAGCTCTAAGTAATCAATCTTTAGACATAATTGCTATACTAATTCCCTTCTCTTTCTCCGATTCCTCCACCTTGGGCCAGGAAATTAATAATTAAGTCATGAAATCAGAATTGGCTGCAGCTGTAAATGCCATTTTTCGAGTCATCATCAATAACCCTCTTTTTTCCACAGGATATGAGAGGATTTTAAATCCAAATGAATTCCCGTTTTTGTTATCTCTTGAAATTAAATCCTCACCAAAATGTATTACAGAATGTCAAACTTAATTAATCAGATTTCATTTTTCATTCACACATTAGGGTAGAAATGCCACATTAATAAAATTCTTAATTTCTTTTCATTTCTAGCAAACATCCTAAAAAAAAATTAATAAAATTATGCTCAGTCCAAATGAAACAACAATTTAAAGAACATTTCTGTTTCTTTCAACTCACGTGATTCAAAATTATTTCTCATACTTTTTTGATTCCAAACAAAGCATAAAGAAAAGCTGAAGATCAATTTAAAGGAAGACCTGGCAAGTGATGGAACTGTTTCGACCGACTCTCGCATTGCCGTAGGGAACGAGTCTAAGATCAACAATGGAGACGAGTCCTCCCTCGAACAACTTAATCAGATCGTCCACTATAAATTTCACGCTGTCCGGACAGAGCGACTCATAGTAAACATCAAGCGAAACTTTCCCACTCCCGTCGTTAGAGTTTGCCGTTATGGAAGATGAATCATCGAAAGCTGAGACCAAAGAGCATAGCAAGAGTAGGAGATGAAAGAGGCAAGCAAAGGAGGGGATTCTTGCCCTAGAATCCATGTATACGAATGCGATAACACAATAATTCGATTTGTCAAGCAAGATTGCAAATTACGAGTCTACTCCTTCGATTTCCATCGCTGAAGATTCGGCTCTGATCCTCCGATCCACGTGCCCGGAATTCGGTCAGAAATTCAATCTCGATTCAGCTTCAGCTTATTGATTAGAGAACGGAGACCTTATCGGTGTCTGATCCTACCGCCGGAGGCCCGGTGGTCCGATCGGCCGTGAAATTAATCTAAGGAAGAAAGAAAACAGCGAACCGATAAAAACAGAGAAATTTCAGGCGGTGGCTCGCGCTTCTAGAATATTTATAAGGTCCAAAATCTTTTTTTGTGGTTCCAACATTTTTTTTTTCATTTCGTTATTAAATTTTAAAAATATCTATTTTATTATCTGAATTTTATAAAATTATCTATTTTTGTTCGTACTTTTTATTTTAATTTTAACAAATTAATAATATCGTTTTGAGTATGTGTACTGAGCAGTTGTGGTGAGTATAAATTTGAATTCATGTTATTAATTTGTTAAAATCAAAGTAAAAATATAGACTAAAATAATTATTTCTTTAAAATTTAAAAACTAAAATGACATTTTCAAAATTTAGGAACTTGTACTAACAAGTTAAGGTGATTATATACTCAAATCAGGTCCTCGATTTGTATTGGGTAAGGAAATTTTAGGTGCAAATATAATCAAACAAGAACTCAAATGATTCCCTTAAATTTAGAGACTAAAATAGATATTTTAAAATTTAATAAAAATTACAAAACTTGTAATGTACAAATTGATATATATTGTCAAATTTTAGTTTAAAATTAATTTTTTTTACCTTATATTTATATGCATGGATCTGCTACTAGAATAGACACGATCACATGATCATTGTTTCAAATTTTAAACTACGAAAATTAAATTGTTACGATATGCTAAAGTTCAAGTATTAAATTGTTACAAATCTATGAAAGTAAGAAGCTATATTTATACTGTCATTAACTACATTATTGTATTTTTTTAGTACGACAAATTGGGGTATGATGGTTTGAACCTCCCACTTTATAGGAATTAAATGTCAATTACGGTTGAACTAGGTATTTATGATTTTAAAATTCTTTTCCCTACGTTTCTTTTTTAATTAAAACTATGGAAGTCAACAAAAGATTGGAAAATATTATTTAACTAAAACTATGAAATATGATAATTTTATTGGTCCGTAAAATAAAATTTAAATCATTTGTGCCAATTTTTTAGTAAACTTCTAGTAAAAAATAAGTGCTTTAACCATTTGAACTATATTCAATTTTACAATCATTTATGCACTTTTTAATTAAATAATTTGTTAAACGTACCATTCTCAATTATATCTTTTGAGCATATTTATGCCAAATATTATTAACCTTACGATGTAACATCACAAGAATAGACAAAACAAACTTAATCAAAAAGTTTATTGATTAAGTTTATTTTGCAATATGATCGAAGTTGCATTAGAGTCGTTGTAATGTAACATTGCAAAATGGACCTTATTTTAAGAAACGAAATATGATCAAAGCTAAGATAAGGCCACAATTTTTATGAGATATTAAAGTAACAAATATCTAACAAAACTCGTAATTTCTTTTAAAGCTTCTATAGCTGATAGCAAGGTTTGAATATTTGCAGTTAGATTACAACTTTTCAGTGACATAATTTTGATGACTGAACTTGGTTTTATTTTTAAGTTGGTTTTTATAATTTAATTTTAAAAGATATTGATTTCCTTTTTTTTTTTCTACTTCATATACGTGAATATTCAAACCAGCTTACACACATCTCAACTAATCTCACATGACAACTACCTAACCCTACAACATTTGGTGCCAAAAAACACAGGAATTACTAATTCTCAAAGTAGGTTGGAGACCATCGGACTTATTTCCTCTTAGCCTCTTTAGACCAATAAACTACCCACGATGGGTTTGATTTTCATATTTATTCATCATGGGTGATTTTCCTATTTATTCAAAGTTATGAAATTAAATATTAAAAATTAAAATGAACTCATTGAGTAGAAGGTAAAAACAAATCTTTCCCAAAAGAAACTTGGATTGTTGTGTCACAAGTCGATCGTCTTATCAAGAACTTTGTGTCCACATCCCAACAATTTCCAACCTACTTCTCCTCAACAAGTTCAATAACAAGTTCAATTGGTCGGTCAAGACAGTACTTATAATCGAGGTTGGAAGTTCAAATCCTTGATCCTATCGCTGAACTTGAGGAGGGAGAGAAATTCTCATGTCACAAACTACATAGAGAAAACAAGAAAATGAACATATAAAAAAGGTCCAAAAATCAATTAGTCAGATTTCCTGTCGAGATTCTTTCACCTCGTAGCAAATGCGAACTATATAACTAAGTAAATGATGTAGCCAAACCAATAATATGAACTTTCAAATTCAATTATTTGGAAACATGATGTTGAACACTATCCTTAATGTCATCATCACTAAATCTCTCGTTTCATCTAGATTTCTAAATTAAGAAATAACCCAATTACATTAATATTATCTAAATAAAACAAAGTTTCTCTCAACCAGATGTATACAGTACAAGCATGTTCGGTTATCTAGATTTATTTACTAAATTGAATACATTCCAACTCCAAAGAGTGTGAGGTATCACCTGGATCGCGTTCTTGTGTATTATATTCACATTTCTCATTTCTCGACTTCTTATTCTTACAGTATCTCGTCTGGGAGGAGACTTACAGTGTCTGGGAGGACGGACTACGCTTCTCGCCTTCAAATGACACTGATGGACGGAGTTCTACAAGCACTTGGCAGAATAGGTCCTCTGTACGCCTCACAGATGTAATTTATGAAGTTTTCATAGTCCTATAACAAGGCAAAGTTATGAAAATCCTTATACCGTAGTTGGGGAGTCAATGCCAATCATTGGGCCAGAGCTGTGCATTAATAATCAATTAGCAAATAGAGACTTGTATGGAAATGTTCTCTTTTTTTTTCTGTCCCTCATTTTTTAAAAACTAAAAAGGAAAAGTTCAACTGAGCATAACTCAATTGATTAAGGCACTAATCTCTGACCACAAGTCATGAGTTTGAATCCCCATTTCCACGTGTTGTACTAAAAAAAAACATATTAGGTAATCTTTTCCTTTCCCTTTTATTTCATTTTCTTTTAATTTAGGGACCATTTCTTTTTTCTGATATTGTCAAATTTTAAATTAAAAGAACAAAGATTTATGAAAATTGTTTTGGCAAAAATTAAATATTCAAAACTATTATATATTTTTTTAATATTTATTATGCATTTATTTTGTATAAAATGATAAAATAAAGTTTTTTTACTGTGTTCTTAAGACTGAAAATGAGAACCAGGAGGGAAAAAAATCAAAATTTGTTTGTTTCTAGAATTTATATACAATTTTCAGAATGTTTTAAAAAAAATGAAAAATAGAAAGCAGTTACTAAACATTTATGTTCTAAGAGATCGAAAGCAAGAAATAGGAAACAAGAAGTATAAACTTTAATGAACGACCCTAAATAAACAGTTTCCATGTTTGTATAACCCAAGCCTAGAGCTTTATGCAGTTAATTTTGGAAATGTGAGTGCGTGTGACAGAAGGAAACAAACCTCGTAAAGTGGTTTCCCATCTACAACAACCCAAGGCACATAATTGTGAGGAGGCTGAAGATTGTCAGTCTCAGCTGCATATTTCAGTTCGAGCTGCAGAAATATGATAAAAATTCAATTATAAGAACATTTGATTCCATCTTGATAATCTCTGTGTTTGCCCAACCACAATTCATAACCTATAGACAGTGAGCTGATCGTGGAACCTATTTCTCAATCAATGAAATCAGTAAAACATTTATACAGTAAAAAGTCAAGGTCTAACAAATAAGAAACTGTTGGCAGCAGTCACAAAGGTTTATTGGAACAGATAATTGTTAAATGTTCTTTGTGTTGTATACAAGATGAGATTTAAACAATATATGAAACTTGAACTAGCACAAAAAACTTAATCGATTTCATTAGGGAAAAAAAAGGTTAAAACTCACCTTGTTCCCGAGGTCGGTAGAGTAGCAATCGTTGATGGGCTTGGGGTCCAACCCCAACTTCTCGAAGCATGACTCCCACTGGGTGTACTTCCGTTTGTACGCTAGAGACTCAATGCAATAAATGAAAGGAAAATGCCCATCCTACATCAGTAGGAGTGAATGAGAACGTTTTTTTTTTAACTAGAAACGAACTTTTCATTGATATATGAAAAGGAACAAAATTGCTGAGAGATACAAACTCCAAGAGGAGTGAAAAAGAGGAATAAAAGAAAACAAATAACAAGATAACAGAATCATAAACTAAACATAGTTAACTTGGAGTAATAAATGCCTCCCAATTCATACAAATCATACAAGTGAATGAGAACTTACCTTTACCAAATCCCAACTCACTCGATCTGTACCTTAGTAACTAATGACACAACTACATATGGGAGGTGACATATGTTGGAAAAAAGTGAGATGTATAATAATGAGTTTCAGCATCTCAATTCCGAGATGACTAATGAAGAAACATATAAAGAGACTGTTTATCATTCTGATAAGAAAACTTTTGTACCAATCCAAGCAAAATGAAGAAACTATAATCATTGATCTCACAGTGATCAGCACATAACTAATTACACAAGTAAACTACATACAGGTCAGACTGATGCAATTAAAATGAAAGGAAGAAACAGGAGTTCTATGCTAGAAACTATCTAACACACAAGGAAAGGTTTGTAAGCAACTGAAAGTCTTACCAGCTCAGGCCAGGCGTTAATGGCACAGGCTTCCACAGTGTTCAGCAGGCATTCAGCAGGGCCATGCTGAAATTACAACAACACAGTACAAGCTAATTAGCCCGTAAACATGAAATAAAGCAAGCACATCCAGCCATCCACAGGCATGTTAGACTGTTTCTTTAGATCTGTCTAGAAAGAGTATAGAAAAACAGTATAACGCCAATTCAAGAAAGACTCTAAAATGGAAATCATATAGATTAAGCTATGTGATTAAGGAGAATTGATTTGCTAATACAATATCATATCGCACCTCCCCGATATTGGCTCAAACTGTGTTTTAACTAACCAAAACCCCGATGAGGAATAATTTAAATGAAAATACGAAATCGATTTTGCATTATAAGCATTTAACAAAAGGGTATGAAATTCGGTGAGAAACGCAAACGAGATGCATATAGCAGCACTTTTCAATCTAAGGTTCCGCCATAACCAAATACGTAGGATCAATTTGAAACTCAAGCACAATCGAGCAGGGAAGAAACGAAAGATGCTATTTCTTTTGAATGATAAATCAAAACAGAAATGGTGAAGAATCAAACGGAGGACCTGACAAGTGATGGAACCATTGCGTCCAACCCTAGCGTTGCCATAAGGGACGAGCCTGAGATCAACAATGGAGATGAGATCGTCGTCGAAAAGGTGAACCAGATAGTTCACTATGAAATTCGCGCAGTATGGACACAGCGATTCGTAGTAGAGTTCGAGCGAGACTTTGTCGTTGCAGTAATCGGAGGTTGCGGCTATGGAAGATGAAGCAGATGAAAACAACAGGAGATAAGAAACGTAAACGAAGGAACAGAGTCTGGCCGGAAATTCCATTGGTGAGGTTCTGGAAAGTTCCGATTGAAGCACCAAATTTTACAAGTTTCTGTTCATTCTAAAACATCCTCATTCTGAAATGCCACGTGGCTTGTAGGAGGTCGCATATATAATTGCTTCTAATCTTCTATCTCTATTATTATTATATTTTTTGTTTCGTTTTTCCTCTCTCTTTAATACATATTTATATGGGTGAAAATTCGAAGGGACAACTTTTTTACTGGGAATAGATGTTTTCAACTGAGTTAAAATTTTTCTTTTTTTTTTTTAAGAAAAAATCAATTTTTACTTTATACTTTCAACCTCATCAAATTTTGAACTTAAATAGTTATTAAAAATTAAATTTAAATAGATATTACAATTTTTACTTTAAATTTGGATAAGTATTGTAACTTTTAACTTAAAAATTGAAACACTATTTAAAAGGTAAAAATGTGTGGTTAGCATTCTTCCTTTTTTTCATTTTCTTAGTCCCACGTTGTCTTGAGGTAGATAAAGAAAGTTCAATTAACAAATTATTGTATTTTTTGTTTTGTGTGGCTCATTTGATAATATTTGGATTTCTTTTTCCTATTTCTCGTCTTAGTAGTCTTTCAACAAAGGTTAATCATATTCTATATTACTTAAAAAGAGTGATCCGTGTATTTAGGTATAAGATGCTTTCATTATCGTCTGGACGTAGGTTAGGTAACCACCTGTCATCGCAAATACGCATATGCAAAAATTGAACTCTACCAATTAAATTATATCCTTAAGCAAAGTGCAACTTGCATGAAGTGCTCATATGTTTTTTTTTCCGTCTTAACGTACTTAGGTCATCTTGAACATTGCACCTATAGTCCAATTATATTTCATTTTTGTAGTCACTACTTTGAAGTCTTCCTAACTACTATTTCTTTTAGTTTAACAATTACAAGGTAAATGATCACATCATCAACTTTTGAAACAATAATAAGTGTTTTATCCGTTAAATCATGCTTTGATCGACAAAGTCTTCCTAACTTATTTGTTAATATAATGGTATATAATCTTCAACTACTTTACTTCCGCTACTAAAATAATTTCCTCCCAGTCCCAAGGTTCAACATTCAACGTGGGATCCTTTGATTGACAGGAAAATCATGTAACTCGTCCTTTTCCAAATGAACAATACTTAAGTACGAGTCAACACACATCTCTTGTGGGTTAGTATTGAGTTTTGAACAATACTTAGATGTTGACTAGATTTCTCCTATTAACTACATGTTGGGGGATTATAACTAACAGAGGTAGTTGGAGTAAATATTGAGAAACAAATATGTAAATAATTAATTAGGTTGAAGTGTGAGTATCTCAACGTAGCTGTATATAGCTCAAACCACTTTGCGACTAGAGATTGAACTCAAAGCTCCACAACAAAGAATATCTCTCTTTTGGCCAATTACTCTTAAAAGAGCAAAATAGAAAAATAAAGAAAGTAAAAGAAGAAAGAAGATATGTTGAATGGGTCAGGTATTGTAAAAGTGTGGTAAGAGAGGTATTTATAGAAATTTTAGCTATATCTAGTAACTTAATAGAAAAATTAATAAGTTTTACTTTTTAACTTCTTTTTCTCAAATTCACTTTCTTTACAATTAAATAAACCGTCTCAAACCTTAAACTCTTAAATAAAATAATTTTAAAAGGAAGCTCATAGTTAATTATTAATAAAGGTTAAAATGTAACAACATTCTACCACTCATTCATTTACTAGTGAAATAACAATCTCTACTCCAACATGTGAGCGTGAAATTCGAACTCACGATCTTGGTCTGATATATATATTTTAACTAGTTGAATTAGACTCATATTAACTCTTAGAGTTAGATGTGCAACCAAACAAACTTGTAATTAAAATTACTTGAAAAAATAAAAATAAAATAAAATTACTTTTAAGAAAATGTAACCAAACACACTAATATTTTAATTTTATCCATTTTTACAAAAAGTGCTTTGAGATTTTTTTTTTTTTTTTTTAAATTTTTAAGTTAGAAGGCATGAGAAACTCACCCAACTTTAATATTGTGCGGATTTAAATTTAAAAGAAGCTACAATTACATTCCTAATTTTGAATTATGCTTAGTTTCAATATTTTTTACTAATATTCACATGGGTACTCAATTAGATTAAATTTGAATAGTTAGGTGATCTAGCAGCCAACTAAACACTATCTTTTTAAAAAATCTTTAAATATTTTTGTATAACAATTAACAATGGTTTTAATTAAACTAAAAAGCTTATGGCGCTAGGCTTGAAATTCATTCCAATGGAGGAAACAATCCAATGATGCTGTTGAAAGATTTAATGGAGAAGGATTTTATTTCCTAAATCTATGCGCATAAGGGGTTATCATTAGTTTTTAAACCATTTTTTTTCTTACCCTAAAATGTCAGATATGGAAATATTCATTTTTATTTTTATTTCGTTCAATGATTGATTATTTATTTTATCCAACTTTTTAAGATGTTCTTAGTGTAATTTTTAACCAATGGAATCACCTTAGAAAATAGTCAAATAAATATTTAAGATATGAGCATTTACTTTTTTATTATACAATATTTTCTTTTGAAAATGTTAAAAAAATATAGTAAAAAAAGGGGTTTTTATGGAAGAAAATTATTGTTTCAGGGGAGAAAGCAAGGAAAAAAAACTACCTGAAAGAAGATAAAGAGAGTATTTTGAGAAACAGTTGGAGACTAGAATATGGTATCATTCAAATATAACATTTCAACATCCAGATGATGAAGATCTCATATGTCACATAGAGAGGACTCATAAGAGCAGGCTGAAATAAAAACTTACAGGTGACGATTTGAAATCGAGATTTTTATAGTGGTTCGGAAATATATCCCTTCCTCTTTAAATCCTCAACCGCGTCCTTGATGATTTCTTCCATTGGGATGAATTTCATCCCCAGGTCCATCAGCTTCTTAGCTCCATCTTTGGCTCTCACCAAATCAGGCTGTGTATCTTCTATCGACCTGAAGAATGGAAAAATATGAGAGATCAGAAGCTCAGAGTATCCACCCCATTACAAATTCCATACGAATTTGGAAAAAAAAAACAAACAATTATAAGAAGAAGAAAAGAAGATTTTGAAAAAAGAAATAAGAAACGGGGTCTATTAAAAGGCAAATTAAACAAGGAACAAGCCCCATCGGAGAGCAAACTAATACAAAAATGTCTCCAATGTTAAAAGATATCTATAAAAAAATTAAATTTACGGTAACCCACCCGATTAAACTTTTGGATTGATAAGTGACTTAACATAATACCAGATTGGTCATGATACCAGATTGGTCATTTCTTCTCTGTTTAATCTTGATGGGTGCAAATTTACCAGCCCCCAAAAAAAACTTCATGTGAAGAACACTCCATCAAGAGGCTGTAGTATATTGTATAAGATCCAAAAGGGCATTGAAGAATTCTGTTTTATCTTTGAAGATCCTAGCTTTCTTGTTTCTTAGGTGAAAGTTGTAAATGCATAGCTGAAAGTTGGGTCACATGAACTCCTTACCTGGGCACCTTATATTGAGGGTAGAGCTCAGCAACCTTTGCGGCATAGTCGGAGTAACGAGATATAGACTCGGCACAAAAGTGCCTTCCTGTAGCTGATTTGTTTTCATACACCAAAATGTGTGCTAAGGCAACGTCTTTAAAGTGCACTATCCCGATAAAGACGTCCTCGAATGTCTCGGAGCACCCTGTCGAAGAACAAAAAAACGCCATGATTTGTGTGGAATGCAAGGAAATTTCTTAGATGAATTGTTTTATAAGTTCCTTTTCATACCATTTTGATGGAAAAATGAAATTTCAAAGACAAAAATTTGGGCAGGCATCAAACTAGCTAAGAGTAATTTTCAAGTTCAATGAGAGATGGAAAATCTTGTGGCTTCATTTTTCAACTACATTGCTAAACAACCGCCCTGCTGCCTACCAAAACCTTCAACATTGGATTTTTCAGCTGCAATTTGTTTAAGTTTAATCGAACTGCAAGACTCTAATGAACAAATAGTGCCATCTTGAAGAAAGTATGGTATAAATTAAGAGAAAAATGTTACCCTCGAGAAGTTGTAAAAGCATTTTCATGCTAGCGTTAATTCTGGGAGGAATCAAAGGCCCCATCACAGTGCCTGGATTAATCACCACCACATCCAATCCTTTCTCCTTGGAAAATTCCCAAGCAGCCTTTTCCGCTAGAGTTTTTGAAACCGAATACCATAGCTACAAGAAAAAAAAAATAAAAAAATTAGAACATCTGGCTGCCTTTTCAAATCCCAATTGCTAAGCAGTCACTACAAGATCAATCAGGCTCATGGACTCTGCTTAACAAATAGGATTCAAGAAATTCCAATTGAATGTCGTGAGAATACGAGCTTCATGATTGGCAGAAAAGTCTACATCCACTTTCAGTCGTTCCCTCATAATCCATAAATTGGTGGGAGAAAGAACATGACGATGAATTTAAATACCTAGCAACATTGATTCTCAATTGAATTGAAAGAAGAATTCCCAATAACCACAGAATAGGAAGAATTTTAAAACAGAAAAATAACTGATAGCCTCAGAGTCAGGAACCAGTGGTCTTTCTTTCTTTTTTTTTTTCGTTTTACTTCTTGATTATCCGATTTTCTTGCGATAGGTTCAAATTTAGTTAAAAGATTCAAAAGAGATGAAGGATGACTCACCCCCTTTGACTTGCAGTAATCTATATCAGTCCAGCATTCTTCATTTCTCACAACGTTCGCCGGCCAGTGAGGGTTTGGAATCATGGCGGAGATAGACGAAGTCACCACCACGCGTTGTACCCCAGCCTCCTTAGCCGCGGTCAGGACATTGAGGGTTCCTTTGATGGCCGGATCCAATAGATCCCTCTACGAGTACAGAGCGGTGTTAATTTCTAAAAAGCAGAACCTCAAGCATAAACACCTCAGGAGATAAAACAACACCTCAGGATCTTCTACAGCATCGACGATGCAGGGAGACGCGAGGTGGAAGACGCCGGCGCAACCAGTGACGGCGGGGACGATGGAGTAATAATGGAGGAGATCGATTTGGAAGAGACGGAGACGAGTGTCCGCGCCTTCCAAATCTTCGAGATGCTTCGTTTCTTTGTCATCCTCTGCATTTGTGAATCAAACTTCAAATTATAAACTGGTGATAATGCGGAAAGAAACCATAATCAGAAGCAGAGGGAAGTTTTCTCGGCAAATATTGAAAGGAATGAACAGAGCAATTGGAACAGTGTAACTGAGATTTTGGACGGTGGCGTGAACGGAGTAGCCACGGCGGAGGAGGAGGTGAACGAGCCAGGATCCGATGCAGCCGCTGCCACCGGTGACGCAGACCAGTTCGCCGTTCTCGCTCGTCGACATCTCTGATTTTTGCTGCTTCGCTCTGCAAAATGGCCTTCCCCTTCACTTCACTTCACTCCACTTTCTGGAAGGACGGATCAGTAATTTAGTATACACTATTGTCTCTTCTCGGTACCACATGGAAGATTCTACCGTGGGACCCGCTTGAGGGATATTTTATTCGGCTACTTGCAAATACTGCAAAAATTAATAAAATATAATCTGTAGTACATTAAAAATTACAGAGCCTGGACGATATTACATTTTGTTTTTATTAAATTTTTTTTTTTTTACAACATGTAAGGTCGAATTCATGATGTTTTTATAGTTACGTTCCATTTAATTTTAAATACTTAATATATTTTTGAACTTAATAATAAATTATATTTTGTTTTTTAGTGTGATATGTGTGGGTTCACAAACTAAAAATATAATAACAAAATTAAAGAAAAGAGAGAGAAACATACGAATATAACAATCAAATTAGGTGGGGAAGACGTACAATGATGATTAATTATAAAATAAAATTATTTATCACCTTTATTTTTAATTAAATATCAATATATTTTTTTACTTAATAAATTTACGTATTTCGTTTGTTGTTTAGTGTCACATGTTTGGCCTAAAAATAAATAAATAAATAAATATCAATGTATCATTTTACTTAATAGTAAATTTATATTTTGTTATATTTCTAGTGTCATATATTTGTGGGCTAAAAAGAGGAAGAAAACAAAGCGAAAAGAGAAGGAAAAAGTTAGAGTCTATCTCTATATAATTTATATATAAACAACATGGAAAGACTTTGCTCGTGTACAATTGAGAATCATAAGAGAAAAAAAAGAAAAATTTTTAGTCCGTATCCGAATTTTCATACTACTCCCATTCATTTTATGTCACATGACTTCTGTATTGTTATACCCATAAATAAGATGGACGTCACCAAATTTTAAGAGCGGAAAATCCTCACCTGCAATATTCTCTCCCCTCTTAAGTTATTTCCTCCCTTCCTTGGTATTATTTATACTTTAATTTTATTCTCTTTGCAATTCAATTTGGTGAAATTGAGAGGATAAAATTTGAATTTTTTTCTCCATAATTTTGTAAACATAAGTCGCTTTCTAAAAATAAATAACTTGATTACATATCGTGTAGTTTGAATTGAATGCTTTCTCCAATTTCTCTCAATAGTGATAATTTCCAAGAAAGCCAATAACTGCTATCAACTTCCTATTAATTCCGAGGTTTTCGTCTTCCTTTGAGCTCCTCTCTCTTAAATATGAATTGCCCTAACACATACGCACGTTGCCATTGTCGGTTGTAAAAACAGGAGAATAAAATCTCATTACCTTCACACCAACCGGTAATTTTTCAGTCCATTTCGTTCACCTCTTGAGTTTTTGTTGCCAGCAAGAAAGAGAGGAGAAATCTTTATATATGGAAGTAGAAGAATATGGAAGGATCGGGACAGGGCAGGTAAAGAATGAGAAGTTTAATAGTTTGAGAAGTCTAATGGGCTTTTCAATCATTCAATGAATTTTCACACTAAATTACTAGATTAGTGTTTAAATATTTAAAATTAAATCATCCATTCATAACCTTAATTCTTGATTATTAAAAACCTTAAATTCTTATTTATTACAATGACTCTTTTAAAATTAATAGAGGTAAAAAGAAAAAATATATTCAAATGACAAAATTGCCACCAAAAAAGAGTGGGAGGAGGTAAATCTGACATAAAAGGTTTCTCCTCATGGTACATTTTATATATACTMTCGGTTGTTAAAAAAATAAATAAAAATGTTAATTATTCATTTATTTTTCATTCTCTAAAATTTTAAATTAAAAAAATTTAATATTTTATCTATAATTTAAATTTTTAATTAAATATCAAATTCTTTCCCATATGTTATTATATTTATTACGCACTTTGCAAGAAAAAGTGATCAAACAATATTTTTATTTATATTTTGAAAAAAGCTAACAAAAATAAGAAATTTGATCTTACCATCAAATATTTATATTTTTCAAAATTAAAAAATAATAATAATAAATGATAAATAGGAACATTATGGATGGGGCCATAAAAAGCAGCAATGCAACAAATGCCTCAATTTCCTCTCTGTATAAATGAAACTATCTTCCAACCAAATGGAATTGTGAATAATGTTACTGAAACAAAGGGGAAAATATTCTCAAGTACATCCCAAATCAAGATGGGAGTTTCAGGTTTATATGATGAAAAGAATGGTTACATTGCAAGCTAAGCCTATTATTTCTCTACCATTGATCTTCTTTTTTTCTTTTTTTGCTATCACAAAATTGTGAGCACAAAACGCAGCTCTCAACTGTGTCTGTCCAAAAACTTCTCTATCAACACTGAAAATGCTGCAAAACCAGCACAACCGGCACAAGCTGCCTTTGGACCACCTGTGATTAAGACAATATAAGGCGTGAGATATCGCATCTTGTGACGAAAGCGTGAAGCGTGTTAGCAAAAACGACAAACAAACAAACAAATCAGCATCGTCAAGAACAATCTCACTTAACTGAAGAACCCAATTGGAACAAAATACAACCGAGTAACAATAAAGGAAATTTCAAGAGTCCCTACGTTCTTAATTCCGAGTTAAACTTAGTGCAATCATAGTCAAAGCAAGACTCGACAGCCCCAGTAAGATTGTTGCTAACTGAACTATTATCTTCCGAACTATGTAGGAGATATCATTTCTACAGTAATGTTTTAGCAGTTCTATTTCTTTTCCCTTCTACTCCTTGCCTCATTCTGCCTCAGTCTTGCTTGCGCTTTAATTGCCTCAAAAGTGCTTTCAAGTTCAGCCTTCTAATGTATTTACAAATTGCCAACTACTTGGTCTACAAGTAGGGAGAACAACCTCATCCTATCATCATTTTTCTATGCTCATTTCAGATGGACAATTTTAACTTTAATGCAATTATCTGTTCTGAAACATATAGTAAGCAACCGTTTACGTCAGCCATTTTTCTCGCTTTTCCCCAATTATCAGTGTGATTGTGCGCCTCCCAACAAACGTGGCATCTCTCTGTATTCTTCGAGTTTTCACCTTCTGCCATAGGATCGACAATGAACCTCAATCTTGTTCTGGAAATACAGTCTCACCTCATTTGACATCTTTCCACCCTTCTTGTGCCTGATCTTCGAATTCCGGCAGAATATGAACCATTATTCTCTCAACCATAACTGAATCTTCATTGGTATTTTTTGAGAGCGGCATCTTCTAGTTCTTTTTCTACTCTTTTTTTCCTTCCCCAACTCATTCTTACTTTCTTTCTCGATTGACTTCTCGTTTCTTCTGCCTTTGCTCCTCATATGATGATTTGTGCCACCAATTTCTTGGCTCCTCATATGATGATTTGTGCCACCAATTTCTTGGTACTCTCTTGCTTGAGTATTTTCAATTTCTTACCAGATAGGATGTTCAATTCCATCACAAATTCTTTTCCTTTTGGCTTTACTGGTGTTATCTCTTGTTTCGTTTTTCCCGGAGTATTTGTCGTCACCATTTTGAAACTCATAGGTTGGGACACATTCTTCAATCGTTTCATCCCTTCAGGTAAAATCCTCAATATATCTTCATGCGCGGCATCGTCCAACTTCATCTCTATGACCAGAACTGAACGACTCTAATACCAATTGATAGAGCCCAAACAACTAACAATATATTGAAATATAAAAGATAGGATAACTAAATAACTCCCAAGTAATTCGAGGTACTTGGACCCTCCCCTCTCTTGAGTATTCTTACTCAAACCTAAACCATACTAATCAATTGTGTACCCTCATCCTTTCCCCTTCAATCTATTTATAAGCAAACCTCCTAACACAATTACTAATATACCCTTAACACCATAATAATATTCCCGATAACATTCCTATCAGCTCATCAGCAGCTGCCCAACAAAATAGCCCTTCAAGTAACTACAACCTCTCAATAATCCTTCAAGATTGGAGAGCGTTGATCGTTTAGTTCCTTTTGGGAGGGGGTCTTCTCGTCCCCTGTCCTTTTGGCTGTTTTTGTGTTTTTCTTTAATGAAAGTCTCTTCATCCAAAAACAAAATAGCCCTTCAACAAACTTTGCTCTTGCTTACTGTGAAAGAGGGACTCAGGAGTGTTAGATGTAATTGTTTGTACATCAAATCATTTCAAATCAAGGAAAGAACTTAGCGATCCCCAAAATTGGCATTAGCTTCAACTATCAGGCTCCATGATATGGCTGAAAACAACATTTAATATATTTCCAAATATGGCTGAAAACAAGATGGGAGCATTCCTCTTTACATGTATAAAATCAATGGAAAACGGTTTTATCTCCCCATTCTAAAGAAAATCTTCTCAATGGTTTCAGTGGCGGTAATGCTTTTGTATAATTTTTCTTACGAAAATGCATTATATCAGTTACTGAGAAAAATTCTTCTATCATTGAGTACTATATATCATTGCCTAATTGATTATCAACTCAGCATGCCAGAGAGACTTTCATGAGGTTGCTTCCGGAGCTCTACCGAGACTTTCCTTGTCAGTTACCGTAATTTTCTCCACACTAACATATGTTTTTGGATGTAGAAGCCACTGCAAGAATGGCATGCAAACATTTGGTACTAGTCAAAGGGGAAGCA